TATTAAAGAAGTGAAGATATTTCGTGTCTTTATATTTTATTTAATAAAATATTTAAAAATTATTAATATTTATTATATTAATTGATGTTGTGCTTATCCTCAAATATTAAAATTTTATATCCAAATCTTGAATTTGGAAAAGTAAATAATTTTTAATATTATCTTTTATTATTTAAAAATAAAATTATTTAAAAATATATATACAGAAATTCAAATTATTGTCTTTATATATTATAGATTATTGACATATAAATTTTTTAGTGTCTTAATATTATTAAAAAGAAAATGTGTGGTGGTTTTTAAACAATAAATTTCATCTATTTTTGTATTTAATAAGTTTGGAGAGAAAATGCTAATGAATGACGCTCCAACGAATCATCAAATCATGAACAGATTAAAAGATTTTATATTTATACATTGCATGGCAGATATACTACACTACATATGTATCTAGTCTGGACTAGTACTCTTGTCACCACAAGATTCCAACTATAAACTTTACTCTCATCTCATAAATTCAATTAATTCCACTTCAAATATTAGCTGTCTCAGCCGCGTTTCTCTCATAATTAATTCTTTTTCTAATTTATCACGGTTAATGCAAAATTAATTCTTCTAATTTCAATTAATATTATTAATTCTTCAAAAAAACCATTTTTATCTTGACAGATTTTGTTTTCAGCTAAACAGATAAAAGTTATATAAATTATAGATAAATTAATGTTTAAAATCCATTAATAAAAAAATATAGATGCAGGTAAGACATAAGGGCAGTTTTCCTCTTCCCTTTTATTTAAAATTAAAATAAAAGAGCTTGAATAGGCATATTTATTTATTTATTTAGTGAGTTTCGTCTACATTTCATTGAAACCATTGAAAATGAAATGGCATTTATTCACAGTCATTGTCTTTCTCCAATTGAAATGACAACAAATACTGTAGGTCACCGTGTGGACCTACCAAATGATTCCGCGCAACTTTATCCTTACAACCTTATATTTTATTTTTTTTAGGAAAAATAAAATATATTAAAAGCCAGTACAAGGGTACTCCAACCCATATACAGTTAACTTAATAAAGATTAAGACATGCAATAGGTAGGGGTGTTCATGGATCGGTTTTTTCAAAAAACCGATCCAAACCGAACCGAACCATTTTATAAAAGTGGATCGGTTAACTGCTCAATTTTTTATAAAGTGGATCGGTTTGGTTTTCTTAAAATATGGATCGGTTTTTTTAAATTAGATCGGTTCGGTGCGGTGCAGTTATCCACTTTTTACTCATATATGGATCGGTTTTTTTAAAAAACCAAATCGAACCGAACCGATCCACTTTGTAAAAATGGATCGGATAACTGAACCGGTTTTATAAAGTGGTTCGGTTCAAATTTTTTTCAAAATGGATCGGATTTTTCAATATGGATCGGATCGGTTATGGATCGATTCGGATCAATTTAGATTTTTTGCACACCCCTAGCAATAGGTTTCCTTGAACAACAAGAAAAACGGATAGTAAAAATTAAGATATTTAGCTTTTAGCCAGTTCCAAGAACGTAATTTTATCAATTCGACCAGATCATTTGAAGATGTAAATTTATTAGTAAATACATCTTCATTTCTTGCTAATCAAATACAAATTAATAAAAAATACAGTAACTATAGGGAAATTTTATCGGTTATATTAAAACTAACACACATCATTGATCGGTTATGGTCAAATAATTAATAAAAATATATTTCGTCAAGAAAACTATTATTATTATTATTATTATTATTATTAATAATATTATTATGTATTTATTTAGATGAAAGTATAGGTGTGGGTGTAAATGAGGGAGTCTTGGTCAGCCTCATCCAAACTACTATCATTCAATGAAATCCTCTTTCTCTCGCTTTCGGTATGGTTCCATTTTCAAACCTTTCAATAATTTAATTTAAAGTGACTTGATTCCCACGAAACTCATCCTATTCACTAATTACCACAATACCCATATTCAGATCTATGCTTGTAGTTTAAAGACTAAACATTTTGTTTACCATCACTATATTTTATTATATTAAAAAATAAGTGTGTTTAAATTAGTTATAAGAATGTATTGTTTTAATTATTTCATAGTCAATTATGTCTATATACAATTGATTGTTGTTAGAAGTAATTATATGAAACGAGTTTTATGTTTAAATATATTTGGTGATAAATTATCTTTACGTTGTATAAAAACTCATTCTATTATAGAATTACTAAAAAAAATATACATAAACTAAAAATAAACTGATCATTTTTAATCATGTGTTCTAAAATTTTGCTTATATTAAAAAAACTGATTTCTTTATAAACTAATTAATATAGATATTTTCTTACATAAACTTTTTAACGCTAATTGGGTTCACTATTTCTTACTATTTTCTATTGCATGTTTGATAATATCATTTGCCTCATAAGTTTAAGATTTAACAATAATTTGATTTTTATGTAAAAAAAATAAGTTATCTATTACTGATTTTATATGTGTGTGATGCATTACTGATGTAATTCTTTTTTCAATATTATCAAATGGTTTATTAATCATTTATTTAATATTTTTAAATTTTTATTTGATCGATTAATTTTATAAAATATAATTATTATAGTTGGAGAATTAATGGCTTGTTTGGTAGGGTGAAAGAAAAATAAGAAAGGAAGATTTTTTTTAAAATTTATATTAAAGGAAAACTGTAATTTTTTTAAATGTATTTTCTATCACTTTTACTTGTGTTTTCTCTTTTGACTAAACAAAAAATAAATAAAATTATTATTTATATTCTCTAATTTTTTCTTTTTTATTTAATTTTCTAACCAAATAATTATACAATAATTGATGGAAACCCTCTTATATTAATTTTTTTTTTTAAAAATATGCTTTCTAATTTATCTAAAAGCTAATTTCAACTTATAAAAGTATTATATTTTTCTCTCTAGAAGTTGTATGAAAAAAAAAACTATTCAAAGAAACCCTACTCCATATCCAAGAATGATAATGGGATCATTAAAACAGCAAGCTCGTGCCAATAAATTTGCCCGTGAGGGTGAGCAAATCTAAACCCACGTAGTAGTTGAAAGTTGACAAAGTCAACTTGTTTGAGAGTTGAACAAAGACTTTTGCTTTGAAAGAAAGAATGGCGTACACTGAAACGCGTAGGTTTTCCTAGAATGAAACTCATCCAGCTAAATGCATCCATCAGCTTTATTTATTTAACTTTAATTGTTCAGCAACTAGTATTATAAATATGTGCATTCCAAGGGAAAAAAAATCAATCATGTATAACACACATATGACATAACTATCGATAATTCATTACTGCAAGTGGTAGTCAATTTGGTACTTTTAAATAATTTTGAATTTAAGTCTTTTATTTTTTTTAAAATATTATTGAAAATAAATATTTTGTACTAGTATCATATAATAAAAAAATAGACACATAACTATCAAAGCATGAAATTGTTTAGATTTTGAACACTATGGTAGTTTCGAATTCTAAGTTTCTTTTACCGGTGAATTCAAAGTCTTTAAATATTCAACTATGTTTAATAATTTGAGGAATAGTATTGCTGCATTTTTTTTTAATCTTATTTGAACAGAATTGCGTTCCACACAAAAAACATAGGTGCAGTTTTTTCAATAAAAAAAAATTAAAACACACACAACAAAATTACTTTTCAATAGACCAGCAGAAGGGAATAATATATAATTATGAGTTTTTAAGTTGGAACTTTATTTCTTTCTATTTCTGAAAAAAAATCTTTAAAGTAAAGTTTGACAAAATAATTATTTCCACAAAATAACTTGTAGTTTTTAAAATTTTAAATTATTTAGAGCTTTTTTATTTTTATTTTTATAACTATAAGTATATTCTCTTTTTTCAATCACATTTTCTTAATCAATAAAATTCGAACATGAAATATTTTTTAAGAAGATCATAGATTTCACTTGGATGAACAAATTTATGGTGTAAAAAATTAAATATATATATATATATATATATTATAAAAAATATATTTTATGAAAAAATATACAAAATAGACTCATATTATAATACAATTTTAATTAGTTTAGACTTTTGTTTTCTTTAATATATAAATTCATTAAAATAAAAATAATTTACATATTTAATGAAAGCACATCAATTTAATACAAACCTCAGCTATTTCATCATTATACACTTAAACAAAGCATCATATAAATTCGTTCAAATGGCCATCATAAAAATTTAAAATATAAATATGATTCTAAATTATTTATTAATTTATAATATACCTGCGTATAAAAAAGTTCCTCAAGCTTTTGTGTATTTTGGTCTAAAAATAAAAAAAATGATAAAAAGTAATCGAAATTAAATATGAAAAAATAATTAACAAGGATTGAGTGTGATTTTGAGTAGTTAATTATAAAGTGTAATAAAAAACAAAATATAAAAAAAAGTGGTATGAAAATATATTATAAAAATATATTTTTAATCCAACTAAATAAATGTTTTTATGCGAAAATATTCAATGATTTGGATTACTTTTTTGAAATAAATCTCATTTTTATTTTGTAAATCATACTAGCAAGAACAATTTTACCATCCTGACTCAATTCAAATAAAATTATCTTTATTAAAATGTCAATAATTTTGTGAAAAAACACATATATCTTATATTAGAGATAATTTTATTTAATTCCAAAATATGTATATATATAATATAATATAATATAATATAATTAGTTGTTCCATCTTCCAATAAGAGTTTTTCATGTATAAAACATAATTTCGGATAAAGAAACTAATCGGTCTGTATTTACAATTATTAATCTGTAACTTAAAGGCTTAAATTAAACTAACCACTTTTTTATTTTATTTTTTATTTATATATATTTTGTGACACTATATAAAAAAGAAGAAAGGTAACCTTGCGAAGTCACTGAGAGGGCAAAATGGTCATTACGCTTCTCCGGCTCCTTTTAAATTGTCTTCTTTCTCCGACGAACTCGCCTTCCAATCTTTTGGGTTTTCATTTGCAAAAGGAATCATCATTCCGTTTGCCATTTGACCTCCTCAATCCCTTCAGATCGAAAGGCCAATTTTTTTTTTTTTTTTCAATTTGATATTCATTTCTCTTTCAATTCATCAAAACTTGTCGCAACTAAATTCACCTAAAAATTTAGATTTGCAATATGTGATTAAAACTCGAGGGTAAACAAACAAAAAAAAAATCGACTTTTTGATCCGTTTTGGCGAATTGAGCCCTTTGGACTGTGGAATTCGAGGTACAGGAATCGTGGGCAATGGCATACGAGGAATTTGGAAAAATTTAGGTTCTGTTGTGGTTGTGACTCCGTGGCGATTGTCAGAAACGGTGTCGTTTGGTGCCGGGGAAGCTGGGGACTTGGGGTGGTCGGAAGGACGCCTCTCACGGCGGAGGAGGGATGGATTGTAGGGTTTGTGTGGCCGCCGCCGCCGATTTGTGGGTAAGAGTTGACGGCAACGGCGAGATTGGCGGCGGTTTTAGCCACGAGAGTGAACATGACTTGGCGCTGATGGTTAGCGATTTTTTAGAAAATGGAAGTAGTGGCGCCGAGTCATGGTGTAGCAGTGATAGCGATTCTGGTCATTCTGATTTCGCTCAACTCGCAGAAAAGATTCAGGTGATTATTAAAACCCCTTTGTTTTTACTTTTTGTTTAATGAATTCTTAATTGATTGTATAAAAATGATATCGCTTGTGTTGTGGGCACAAAATGAAATGGAAACTAGATTTTTAAAGCATGTTTGTAATTTTTGCTCAAATTATGATTTTGAGGCTTCCAAAGAAAATTTTAAATGTGCACCGTTGTGTCAATTCGCTGTGGATTGTTTGTGGTGTCTACAGGATTACAGGAACATGAGCTGAATGCATGTTTGGTCTATTTTCTTAGTCTGTGTAGAATATATGGTAATGAATGGCTAATTCATAGTTTTTGTTTTACCAAATTGCAACCTTTTATTGATTTCTTCTGGATTTTTTGGTCTTTAATTGGGGTATCTTCATAGGCATTGCTGTGATAGAGATTCCTGAGGCACTCTCATGACTGGTAACTAACTGAGGCTTATGATATCTGATACCTAAGATTTCATTTACATGCGTTAGGCTATGTGTATGTGTAAAACTGTAAATAGCTTAATCAAGCACGTATTCATTAAGCCTATTCATAAGCTTAACTGCGAAATTTGTGAAATAAGCTAAAAAGAAGATATAGGAATGTCATAACTCAGGTCACTTTCACAGGCACTTTCAAACGTCCCCTAAAACTAGTTTTTTTGGGGATCATATACATGTGTTTGGCTGAATATTCAAACCTTTCTAAACTGCTAGAGCCCGAGTCTTGACACGTGCTTTTCAATTCTCTTATTTTCATTTGTGTTTTGGGTTTGATTTAGAAAATGCAACATGCAATCTCCTATGTTGTAGGGTAGGGTTGAAAGCAGTTTCTTCCTGTCTCAATTACCTTACACTAGATAATTGGCATATTGGGTTTTGACAGGAAAACAAAATAAGGGAAAAACAGAAAATAGATACCATAGAAATAGAATTGCCTTTCTGTAGTTTACTGTACAAGTGACTGTTTTCCTACTAATTATTTACTTTGGATGAAAGATATTGTTGAAAATAATGACATTTAATTTTCTAAGGAAATAGTATGTTCAGGTATCTCATGTTTCAATGTATCTAGTGTTCATGGGTATTAGTGTCTCGGAAGTTGCATTGCTTATTATTTTCGTAGGGAATAGTCTCTGCAAAATCTATCAAGATTCTGTTCATATGGATGATATGCAGAACCTATGCACTACGTATTCTCTTGAGTTGACTAATAAAGCATTTTTCTCTAAATTTTCGGCAAAATATTCTGTTCTACCTTTAAATCAACAAATATTTTAACAACTTACCTGACAATCTTTCATGTCTCATGACACAGATCTGTAAGCTGTCGGTGGCTCAACAAGAGAGTGACTTGCTTTCAGTTGTGCATTCCCTCATACGGTCAATGAATGAGACAAACCTTCAAGTTATGAATTCTGGTCCATGTTATGCTAGCTGTATTAGGTTTTATCTGGTGAAGTTGATGAGACTTTCTGGTTATGATGCTGGTGTTTGTGCATCTAAATGGCAGAGTAGTGGCAAGGTCCCTGGAGGTAAGCCATAGTGTGTATATATATATATATATATATATATTTTTTTTTTTTTTTTACCACAATTACAATTCTACTTTTGCTTCATGGATGGCACATCCATCATTAAGTTGCCACCATTGGTTTGTTTGTGGTGCTAAATATGAAACTTTATTATTGTCTGCATCAAGTGCTTTTTACCATGTTAAGCAACTAAGAACGTGATTGTATGTATACAAGGTAGAAGTACTTTTGAGGACTTCTCCACTTAAAATGAAAAGTTACTAAACTCACACTTCTAACCTTGTATTCAAACAAGTTCTATGACTGTCAAGAGAAAGTAAAATGGCATACTCTTTTATGTAGTCTTGTTCAACATTTCCAGCGGCTTTGTATGCACATGTTTGTGCTTATGCTTTCAGCTGATGTTTGATTGTTGAAACTTGTGGCACAGGTGATCATGAATATATTGATGTTGTGGTCGACAGTAATTCTGGAAGCTCAGAGCGATTGATTGTTGATATTGATTTCCGAAGCCACTTTGAAATAGCTAGAGCTGTCGATTCATATGATAGGATATTGAATTCACTTCCGGTTGTCTACGTCGGCTCCTTTACCAGGTTGGAAAATTTTCTTGGAATAATGGAGGAAGCTACTAGGACTTCGTTGAAGCAGAATTCTATGCCCCTTCCTCCATGGAGATCATTAGCATATTTGCAAGCCAAGTGGCAGTCGGCGTATGAGAGATACACACATTCAGAAGGCAATAACATTAGCGACGGTGAATGCTTTGACCACAAGCAATGCTGCGGACATCTGAAGAGGCTGCAATCTTGTCTTCAATCGGGAATGGAAATAGAGCGAATGTTGAAGCCTAGAAACAGCGAAAGTAACTGGAGGATGAAGCCTGAGAGATGGCGGCACCCCTTGTTCAGACCTATTTGACATGTACAGATTTTGGCTTTCAAGTTCTCAAGAGACTGAATTAAAAAGATACAGAATTTTTGCGGCTATTTTCCCTCGATTAAATCTTCATCATGCTACCTAATAAGTCTGATCAACAAACCACAGGTTCATATAGGAAGCCTCCTTACCAACAACAATAAACCATTTTATATATGCACTGGTTCTTTGTTTATTGTCCATGTTTGAGGTGTCGCAATTGCAGAATCTAAATTTTGGTTGGTTTCCAGTGATAGTCACCAAACTACTACTGGGTACCCCATTTAATTATGTCTGAGTTATTCCTTGCCTCGTATATTTGTTGGGTCTAGGAATTTTTGGTACCATATGTTATGTTCCTATCCTTCAATACATATTCATATGATTAGTTTTGAGTGATGAACGATAATTTTCTTTTGAGTTTCTGATCTGTTATATCTGTGAATGATTGTTTTTTGAATTTTGATTCAGCACGCAATGAAAAAACAACTTCGAAACTTGCAATATTTAGGTTAAATGTGTGCTAGCTGTCGAACTTCTGTTGCCTGAGTCTTGTTTTAAAGCTTGGTTCTTTCAATTACTTTATTTAACAAGATTTTTGATTCAGAGTTGGTCATCTTAGAGGGGTACCCATGTGATGCACCCAATTCAAGTGCATTTTTTTTTTTTTTTGTTGTATAAATTAACTATCGACTTGGATGCATATTAATAATGGTTGATTCTTCGAGCACATTCTTTTTATTTATACATCACATATATCTTGAAGCAATTATGTTTGAATCAACTAAGATTTATGTAGAAACATATGTCACATATATCTTATACTTGAAACAATTATGTTTGAAATAATAATAATAATAATAATAATAATATAATTTTTTTCAATCTACCTTTATAAAAAAATTACTTATAAAATATATTAAAAATATATATCAAAACTAGTATTAAATAAACAAATAAAATTATTGAAACAACAACAACAATAATAATAATTTATAATATCCAAATGTATATCTGAATTTTTAAAATTTTTAGTAAATTATACATCGTATATTATAACCATTTTTAGTCATGTAAAATTAATTTTTGAAAATACAATCTCAATATTGTTTTTATTTAATTAGCTGACCGTTGTTTTTTTTTTTTTTAATAATATGAATATTTTTTTTAATTACTATGCAACATATACATATCATACATCATATATTACAACCACTTTTACTCATGAAAAATTAATTGTTGAAAATACAGTCTCTATTGTTTTTATTTAATTAGCTGGCTGTTATTTTTTTTAATAATATATATATATATATAATATTTTATTTATAGAAATAACAAAGATAGTAATAAGATTTAAGAGATTGACATATAAGACTTTATATATATATATATATATATATATATATATTTGTTACTATGCAATTAAGGAGGTCTTAAATCAATTTGTTAAGTAAGGTGTGTAATTTATTTTTTTTGAAGGGAGTGTGTAAATTCTTTTAAATAATTTGGTTGAGTTAAATTGAAGTAAATCAAAATCAATGTAATTATATTATTTAAAAAATGATAAATATATTATTTAATTGAATTATGTTCTAAAAATAATTTAATTATATTAATTAATTTTTTTATTATCATGATATCACTAAACTAAGTATAAGTGATTATAAGAATTAAAAAATAACAGCAACGAAAATGTAAATGATGTAAGAATAATTATAAAAAATAATTTCATCTTAAAACATATTTAAGCCTTTATTTTTAAAATTGATATTTTTTTTTAAATTAAAATTCATAAAATATAATAAATAAATGTAAAATAAATAAATAATAAATGAATTTATTTAAATAATTATTAATAATACTATTAAAACTCGATATCTTTCATTTAATACCTTATAATAAATGTGCATTCAAATTTCACTTAACATTATGGTGTGTTTGAATGAGACATTTTACAAATTTAAGAAATTTTAAATTCTTGGTATTTGAATTACTTTGATTTCAATTTCTATCATTCTTAAAATATTTTGTTTGGATAAGTCAATTCCAAGTTCTTAAATTTTAAATTATTAGGTTAGATATGATAATTTGATTCTACCATCATAAAATTGATTTTAAAAATATATTTATATGTTAAGATTTTTAAATTAATTTTTATAAAAATAAATATTAGTTAATTTTTAAATATTTAATAATTTTAAAAATTAATATTAGATAATATTTAATAATTTTAAAAATATTTTGGAATACTCAATAATTAAAAACATGAAGAGATAAGAGATAAATAAAATATATAAATGAAATAAGAAGAAAAAAATATGAGAAATTTCAAATTCTAACTTTTTTAGGAGAATTTGAAATTATATTATTTTAAAAAATTTTACAAATGCTTGAATTTCAATTTTTTTTTAAATTCTCCATTCAAACAAGGTATTTCACCTGAAAAAATTTGAAACTCTTCAAATAAATGAATTACTTCATTTAAATTTTCCATCCAAACACACTATAAATGTTTCACAAATTACTCTCACCGGTCCTTTTAAAACACAATTTAAAAGTAAATATTTTATAAGGCTTCTGTTTAATTATTATAAAATGTTAATTATTTTTTATTTTATTTTTTATCCTATTAAAGATTTTAAAAATATGTGTTTTCTTTTATTGGATAATTAAAAGAGAATCCGAAAAATAAATATTTTCTGTTTTATTAAACTCTTCTTTGATTTAGATTTATTGATGCTATAAATTTTGATATGAAGTAATATCTTCACATTTCTCATAAGAATTCAATGATAAGTAAAATTTAGGAACTATCAACCATTATTTAATATACTATAACAACTTGAAAATCACTAAAAAGAAACTAGTATATATATATATATATATATATATATATATATATATATAATATATTACTCTTATTATTATTTTAATAAAAAAAAACTATTATTATTAATATTTTTAACTTTTAATTTATAAAATAATAATAAATATTACTTCTCTTCACATAATTTATCTTTTATACCGTACAAGTACATGAATTAGTAAATTTAATAAAATCAATTAGTATAACTATTTATATTGGTTTCTATGATATAATTAAAAATATCTTATATATAATAAAGACTGAAGAGAGGATTATAATTTATTTTGTTAGCCAATTAATATAATTTATTAAATAAATTAAAATAATATAACAAAAAATAAATGATCTAAAATGTCCTTAATTTTAGTGAGAAAAAGTATATATACCAAATCTTTCTTACTTTATATTCTCTTGTGTACTTATTATAAGACACTTCTAATAAAATTACACAGACCAATATATACACTAATTTTAATTGTTTTATAAAATAAAATCATGATATTTACACCAATTTTAATCTTATTAAATTGCCATTAAAAAATGAATGATATTTGTAACACCCCGAATTTTCTACTAATATAATGTTGATTATTATTTATTTTTGTATAGTTATTTTAGTTAATTAAAGGGTTATAAAATTTTTGTAAAATTATATTTTTTTACGCCGGAACGTGCTGTTCCAAAAATGGAACGGGTCGTTCCAAACGAAGAAAAGATACTATTTTTCGAGTAGCAGAACGGGCCGTTCCAAATGTGGAACGGGCCGTTCTAAAGTAATAAAAAGACCCATTTTTGTTTTACCAGAACGGGGCGTTCCCAAATGGAAATGGGTCGTTCCGAGATTTTAAAAATGCCTAAAAAGTTGTGTTAGAAACTGGGCGTTCCAACTATGGTCAATAAGTGTAAACGTGAACCCCAGAACGGGCCGTTCTAATTTTAGAACGGGTCGTTCTGCTTTTTGGAAACGGGCCGTTCCGATTTTGGAACGGGCCATTCCAGTTGAAAATTTTGCACAGATTTGAAGGATCCGGAACGGGCCGTTCCGAATTCAATACGGGTCGTTCCGGGTACACCAGGTTGCCTATAAATAGAGGCAGAGGGGTGAAACTTTTATAAGTCACCCACGATGTAATATGCTAATAAGGTGTACCTTATGGTCACCCACGATGTAACATGCTAACAAGGTGTACCTTAGGGTCACCAGTGATGATATGTGAAACTTCCTTATGGCGCCACATGCATGCATTTATGAGTCGAGTCCATGACATCATAGCATGATAAATGAATATATATGTGATATTGATTATTTATGTATGTTATTTACATGTGACTTATATTTGTTGTGTGTGTGTGTGGGCTATTTAACCTTTATTTCTGCACCTGAAACGAGTGAGATGTTTCTTACTCCCTTGTTATTCTTGTATATGTTTAAATTATGATGCAGGTGATCAGCATCATGAGGATGTTGGTGATGAGTCTTAAGGCTTCAGTTGGGCATGCTCTGATAGGATGTGACATCGGGGCATAGTTAGCGTAGTTTAATATGTTATTGTTTTAATAACTTTAGTTTCTCTTCTTTTGTAATTTCTAACGAAGAGATAACGTAGATAAAGTTTATAATCCAAGGAAAATGTATGTTAAGAATTGTAATTCGAACGTTCTTCATAAAATACCAGAATGAATATCTTTGTTATATTTTTATTACATGATTTGAAAAATATAATTAATTCCTAACCAGGAGGCACTGCCACCTTTACTGGAGTTAATTTATATTTCCTGTATTATTATTATTATTATTATTATTATATATATATATATATATATATGATTTCTTGTTGTCACTAAATTGTATCGAAAATCTTAACTTCTTTTCTTTTGTAATTTTATATTGGAGTTCTGATTTATGAATTATGAATATGAATCTTTTACCTTGTGATATTTGAGACATTTGTCAACTATGAAAGATTTTATTTACTCAAAAAGAAAGAAATTTTTTTTTATTGTTACATTTGTTAATGTTGGGGTAGAAGGGTGTCACAATATTATTCCATATTGTAATATCCCAAATTTTATTAAATAAAACAGGTTATTTTGATTTTAAATATTTATTGAGATTATTAGAAAGTTTATCATATTTTTATATACGTATTTTACTATTTATATATATACGTATTTTACTATTCACATATACGTATTTACGTATTTATGAATAGTAAATATATTATTATTTTAATAAATAGTAATTTCCAAAAACAAGAACGTAAGCACTTACGTTTGTTTCAAATTATTATATTATTTTTTAATGAATAGTAATTTATAATATTATAATAATGAATAGTGCATAGTAACTTATAATATTATTTTAATGAATAGTGCATAGTGCATAGTAACTTCAAAATTTCTATAAATAGGAGCCTAAGGTTTTGAAAATTCAGAATTCTAGAGAGAAGGAAATTCTGGAGAAATAGAGAGAGAAAGTAAGAGAGAGAGAAGGAGAAAGAAAAGGAGGTTCTGCTCTAGTGCCTTGTTTAAGGAGAAAGAGGAAGAGATTCTGCCCAAGTTTTTAGAGAGATATTGCACTAGTTTCAACTCCTACTTATCTAGGTAAGGGGGAGGAGAACCTTATCTTTTTAAAATTTTATATACTATTATGTATATTTATTTATGTCATTTACTTGATTATATTTATTTAGTGGGGTATCTCTAACCTCATCTATTTGCTTATATTTATTTAGTGGGGTGCCCCTAACCTCATTATTGTTATATTTATTCAGTGAGGTGTTACTAACCTCATCTAACTCCTTAACTTTTAATTAC